AAGGACTGCTCCAACCTCATCCTTGCGTTCCTCCTTCTCTTGCTCTTCAATACCACATCAGATGGGCATCGCTGAGGCTGGCTGCGAGGGAAGAAAGCACACACTGGCTTTTCAGGTGCTCGCTTACAAGAAAGAAGCCCGAGATGTTTTCCCAGAATTGCGAACTGAGCAGTGCTGGGGAGACTCACTGTTTCCAGTGCAACCTGCAAGCAGCCAAGACACGGAACACGTATGATAAAATGAGCCTGTGTCAGGAAGTGCGGAGGCTCAAAACGTCTTCATGGAACGTCACTGACAGCAAGGGGTGGCAGCTCTGCACCAACCCAGTTCAAGTCTCAGGAGTCCTGTTGTAACTGCCCTTGGAGCAGTAGGAGAGAGAAACAAACCTGGATTCCATCTGTGGTCAGGACCTTCCTAAGAAGTCTTCTGAAGTTCAAACTACTGCGAACAACTTAATAGAGCAGGGAAATGAACAAAGGAACTAGAAACGCTTCAAAGCAGCTCAGCACCTAGAGATGCTGTATGGACCAGAACTGAGCCTGTAAGTGCTGGGCTGTAAAATCTGGGGGGTTTAGCCACTGATGGTGCAATCTGGGCACAACTTTTGTTCTAATAAACCCATTTATTCCTTCTGCCTTTTCAAGAGTGGTGTTTGCCAGCTCCTTATCCACACTCTCCTCTGTACACATACTGACATCGAGGAGGGCAGCAAAGGCTGTAAGCTAAGCACAGCAACCTCTGTCTGCAAGCCTCTGACCTGAAGCTAATGTCTGCTCTCGATGATATGCTCTCCTGTTAGGAGGGAACTTGCTCACCTGTGTTGCCTTTTCTCTTCAGTTCTTCTCTTCCGAGGCCTGACTCCACTAGATGGGGCTCCAGACCTGCTCCGGCACCTTCTCTACTCGAACTTGCACTTTGGGCGGGCAGAGACCTCCGCATCTCGTGGGACTGCGACAGGGACCTTCCCGGCTTTGCTTCCAGCAGGGATGCTGGCACGGACGGCGTGGGAACACACTCTCTTTCCATGTTTCTCTGCTTGAAGCCTACAGAGGTGGCAGCACTGTTTATGGCTGTGAGAGCAGTGGGGATTTCACAGTAAGCATCTAAAGCAGACAGTGCAAAGCCAGCCAAGGGTCCCTCCTTCCTCAAAGGCACTCTGTGCTTCTGCGCCTGCTACATATATCTCAAGGGACTCTTTTCCAGATGCCTGGAAGGATGGGAGCTGGCTTCTTGCTCCTTCCCAAGAGCCCACCATTTAGTGACATGGCTAATTAATGTTATTTCGTTGCTCTCTTTAGCTGTCAAATCTTTCTTCTACTTATTTCTGTTTTGAAGTGAAACAATAGAGAGTTTAAGTTACTAGTGAGAATGCCAAGGACATGGTGGTCTCTTAACAGCTGGAGTCAGCAGGTTTTGAAAGATTTTGAAAGTTAATAAATGAAGGGAGCCCTTCAGAACAGCCAGAGGTTAGGACATCCTCCCCATCCCTGCCTTGGCACCACTGCAGGGAAAATTAGCATCAGGCTGTGTTTCAGCAGGTTATTTCCATTCTCTGGATGTGTGCCCACACTGCTTCCACCGGCCGAGTGTTTGAGTTGTCTGCAGGTTTTGGCCGAACAAATGGCCCTCATTCCTTCAAGCTCTCTACAAACACCTTCAGGCAAATCTTCTTTTGGGAGCAAACTCACCTCCCACAAGAGGGGAGTGGTTTCAGGTGGAAGCTGGGAGAAGGGATAATTGCAACACAAAAGAGCAAACGAATATGGGAGGCAGAAGAAAATAATCTTGCCTTGATAGTCTCCCTATTTTACAGAGGTGAGCTGTGCTGGCCGCACCTTGCCTTTCAGTGCAAGGGTAGGGAGTGCTCTGTGACTCAAGCAGGAGAGTACTCGCATTGCTTTGCAAACCAAGCTGAGAGAAAGGAATTTGCTGTGCTGGGAAGGCTTTGAGAAACTCATCTTTCATCCAGTTATTGAGAACCTGAAACAAGTTTCCCTTTCTGGTACTGCTCAACCCATGGAGTACGGACTTGTCCCGATGCATGGCACCAGCTGGCTGGGTGCTGTGCTCTTCCTTGGGGTACAGCTCCGAGGTAAGGAAACCTGGTAATGTCTGGCCTCGGTTGCCATCTTGCCTTTCCTCTTCTGATCCCTTAATTATCATCCTCATTAAGGCAGTGACTTTGTAGGACTCTCAGATACTTCTTGTTGACGATTGCTGCGATTCTTTCGGGTCCGGGTTCACTGCAAGTGACACAAAGCGATTGAGTTTCTTTGACAAACAGGTTTAAGTGTGTTCAAGCGGAAGAACAACACTGATCTCATTCTGAGCTCTGGTTACACATCTTTTTCTCTCCTCCCAGGAATCTGGACTTTACTCCTAGGTGTTTTTTTTTACCTTGTCTTTGTTACTAGACAATCAGAGATTGTTAAGCAGCAGTCGGGTTTAGATCCTTTACACAGCAATGACTCCAGACTGGCAACAAACCAGTTTGAATTTTTAGTGGCTTATATCAATATAGCTGGATTCTAAGAACACCATGTCCTCCTTTCCCAAATGCATCAGCACATGGATACGCTCAGGAATCTGTCTTGGAAAAAGTATTTTACACTTATTTCCCACAGTTGTTCTTTTGAAGGAGTTTGAAATGAAAAGATTTGACACTGAATCTTGGGATGAGAGAAGAGCTCTGCCAAAGAAATTTTTCAGTGTGAACACCTTCAATGTTTTGGCATTTCAAATATTTTCTCTTTTGAGAAAAGAAATTATTTGGCAAAGAAGTCTTTGGTTATGAATCATTTTCAAATACAGGAAATGTATTGTCTTTATTATGAAGTTGTATTTCACAAGCCCAGATAAATGTTTTTTTTTTCTTGAATCGCTCCTGGGGGAGTTAACTCATCTTCCTAAAGTGACAGGAAATCATGAATATTTTCTTTTTCATCCAGGTTACTTTGACCAATAAGGAAAAGCAAACTAATGGGAGCACATGGTCAGGAACAGAGAGGACTGTCCCTTACAGCAGCAGCAAGATATTTAGCTCAGCACTGCTGTTTGTGGAAACTACCCTACTGACTCCAGGAGCTAAAGTGGGCAGGCAAGAAACAAAGCAGTTGTGGGGAAAAGAGTGAGAACTGTCTGGGTAGCACGAATCTGCCAGGGATTAAACTGTCTGGAATGGCAGGGCTCAGGTGTGAGAGATATCTTCAAAAGCATCTTTCTTCTTTCTGTGTCTTGATTTTCTCTTGCTGCTCGTCTCTCTCTCAGGATAGCATCGAGTTAGCTCTGCTGTCTTATTTATAAAGTGGCAGCTGTGGTGTTTTGGTTACCAGAGGATGTTTCTTTGCCAAAAATATGCTTACAGATTTACCTTGAGGATTTCCTGCAGAGTGCCTCAGCCTGACCATATTTGGCTGTAGTTGTCCAGGTGGGCTAACCTTCTAACAGGCACTGCTTACTTCAATAAGAGCAGTTTTCACCATGATACTCAGGCTGATAATCCAAAGCATATAAAGGAAAGTTCTAGCAACTGTTCAATGTGGCTCAGCAGTCCTACTTAAAAGGGTGAGACTGCTTCTCTGAAGAAACCTGTTTGGGGAATTGAGTGCAGTAGAGCGCTATCACTTGTGAAAATGGGACCAGGCCAAGCTCATGAAAAGTTATATATGGTATCTTTAGTGCCAGTCAGGAGCAAGTACGTGTTTAAGGAGGAGTGGCATTTACAACAGCATTGCACCTCCTAGATGTCAAGTTTACTCATGCCTAAACAGAGACATTTCCCACCAAGACAAAGGGTCCCTGTAGTGCTGTCCTTCTCAGTGGCCCTCTCTCAACCAGTTACCAGGTCTGCAAGTTTTTAACTGCGAAGCCACAAAGCTACAAGGAAAGCACTGTACCAGCAGTTCAAATGAATACAGACTCCCTTGAAAGCAGCACTGTGCAGCTTGCGTATCAACTGACAAGATCCTAGAAGCACAGGGATCTCTTGGATTCTGCATATGCAGGATCAACTCCTTCAGTAATTGTATTTGTCTGCTTGAAACTGGCAGGTTAAACATTGACACGGATAGATAAGGCAGGCTTTGCAGAGGGTAAATGCAGATAAGGAAAAGTGATGAGCTTACTCCTAGACAGTAGTTTTCTTGAATGCCTGCTGTTTTCCCTGCAGCACTGTGGCCTGCGGCAGCCATGGAAGTTCACACTTCCAAGGAGGTGAATGCTGTGAACGGCACTAACCTGCGGTTGAAATGCACCTTTTCCAGCAGCAGCCCTATTAGCCAGCATCTGTCCGTGACCTGGAACTTCCAGCCTGAGGACCTGAGCTCTCATGAGCTAGTGAGTGAGACTGTTATTGTCCATTTCATGGACACACACTGGCCCAAACAAACCTGTCCCAAAGCCCAGCATTGGGTAGACCCAGTGAACACAATTGCAGGTGTGGGTATGGGCAAGCATCCATCACAAAGACCATGCAGTGTTTTGGAATGACAGCTTCCTCTCTTTCCTGTAGGTATTATATTACCTGCAGGAGCCCTACAACCTGCCTGAAGGACGGTTTAAGGAGCGAGTCACCTGGGATGGGAATATTGAGCGTAATGATGTTTCCATCATGATCTGGAATTTGCAGCCCACTGACAACGGGACATTCACCTGCCAGGTGAAGAACCCACCAGATGCTGATGGGGTGATTGGTGAAGTGCGACTCAGAGTTGTGCAGAAAGGTGAGAGGCCAAGAACCCACCAGAGGCCATGTGAATTTAGCAAGTATTCCTCCACATTTGGGAGAAAGTATGAAAGAAAAGGGATTATAAAGAGAAAGCATGAGGGTAGTTAATGGATACAGGGAAAAAAGGAGCCTGAGGAAAGGTTATATTCACAGGTAGAGGTTCCCAGTCCCATACTAAGAGCTTCCTCTTGTTCATTGGTGTGTTTCTCTCCATGCAGTGCATTTCTCAGAAATCCACTTCCTGGCAGTGGCCATTGGGTCTGCTTGTGTTCTGATGATCATTGCAGTGACAGTTGTGATTATCTGTCGACACCATCGGAAGAAAGCACAGGAGAAGAGGATCGAGGTGACAGGAACTGAACTGTAAGGACAGGGGAGAGAGAGAAAGGCTTCTGGAAAAGCTTGCCAGATGCATCTTCATAGCTATTCTGAATTATTGGGTTTGGACCCTACCCTAAGCATCTGTGATGCAAAACTGCCAATACAATTATCAATACTTGTCTGCTTATGTGCAGTCAGAACAGAGCTCTGGGATGAACAGGCTTTGGAGTCCTCTTTTTGCTCTCACCCTTCACAGTAGCCCCTCACTCAGAGGAAGATCTGTTGTGGTGGTAGTCGGCTCTGTTTCAGGAACCTGACACTGTGGTCACCATGCATGTAGCATGCTTACTATCTCATCATATAACCTTGTTATGTGTTCTGTATGCTATACATAACTCAGAACGTGACTGCTGCTCAGGATACGACACTGATTTAGGCTTTTTTTTCTTCCCTTCCATCCTCCTTCCCTTCCCCCCTTTCATAACAGTAAAGAAAAGGAGAGTCTGAAGACAAGAGAAGAAAAGGAAGACCGTCCATTAGAAGACTAAGGGTCTTTGACGGTGTATACACTGCAGGTATCCATTCAAATGTTCTCTAATTAACATCCTGGTGTTTCTGCAGGCTTCTGAAGACAGTTTTACTTTGGTGTTTCACTTTTATTCACAACCAACAGCCCGTGCTAACCATAAGCAGAAACAATTGAGACCACAGTCACACTTTGCTCCTGAGGGGCCTTCAGAGAGAGACTGACAACTGAACAGGCAGTGGAGACAGAACTGCCTCTTAGCTGTAGCAGAGATTTCTCCTCCCTAGCGTTGCTGCTTTCCATGACATGCCTGCTTTGTGGATAAAGAGGAGTGAATTCATTTCCTTTCCCCAGTTTCGAGTCTGCTTTTTGATTCATTGAATCTTTATTGTTTTAAAATTGCTACAGGAAGACTGAGACTGTTTCCAGATTTGCTAGTTTTGCTGAAACATGACAGCGTAAGTTTTACCCGCTCAATTTCTGAGGTCAGCAGCTGCCTTTACTGTGTTTGTTTTCAACAATAACTCTGAGTAAGGAATCTCTTTTGGTTTTCTAATAATCTTTCTTCTTAGGTACTTCTAAGGCAGATGCTGAAAGCTTTAATTTTGGATGTTAGAACAAAGCTGAATTACAGATACCTCATGCTGGGAGTGTGGTATCCCCGCTCAACCTGAAATTCTGGTGAGGGAAGAGAATGACATTAACATCAGTTGTAAATTTCCTTCATTGAAGCAAAGCAGGAGGAACTTGCCCCATGAACAAGGACCTTTCCTTCATCTTCACACCTGCAAAACGTGAAGAAGTCTGCTCTGACAGAATGCCAGAAGATTGGAGCAGGATGCCAAACTGCCTGACCGGGCAGAGATGCTCAAAGTGTCTGAGCAGATGCCATCTCGCACCTTAGAAATCACAAGGTGCATTTGTGTTGCCCTGTTTTTCCTCCCTCAAAATCCTCTTTGACATCGGCTATGTGAGGAGGAGCCAGTTGCTACAGTGTAGTTTAAAATCCCTTTGCCACTTCAAATGGGAAAAGCATTAGACTTTGGGAATGTATGCTGTTTCTTTTTAGGGATAACATTTACCGGTCGCTGTGTGTTTTGTGTTGATCTCTTGCAGCTTCTGAGGTCACCACCTTCTGCCGGAGTTCCGACGCATTGAAACTACAGAGCTGTTACAGTATTCAAATAGCACCAAATCAAAACATTGTCCTTTAAGAGTATCTTTATGACTTTATAACACTATCTATCTGTAATGTGCTGGCCGCATTATCTGTCCATATGTTGTCATTTTCAATCTCCTGTGACGTAAATAAATGCGCCTTGTGGAGAGCAGTGATTGTGTTACAAGTGTTACAGATGTTACAGATGCGCGCTGACCCGCCCCATGAGGACGGGGGGTTTGCTAAGAAAGTACCCGAAAAGCAACCAAGTGGCTCTCCCAGACCCGCTGCCCATGGAGAGGGCGGAGAGCCCAGGCTCCCGGAGGAGAGTCATCTTGGGCTGTCCCCGCCCTCACCTGCGCTGCGCAGGTGAGCGCCATATTGCGGCGCAGAGCGGAGCCGGGATGCGGTGCGGCGAGGCGGGGGGTGGCGGCTTCCTCCTCCTTCCGCGGGGAGCCCTGCTGCTGCTGCTCGGTAACGGGGCGCTAACGCGGAGAGCC